CGAACGATGGATTGAACGAACGTAGCGAACAAAGTGATTTATGGACTCAATCTTAACTTAAGCCCTGGAATATAAAACGATCATAATAAACTGTTCAAGTCGAATGAGGAAGATAGAACTAATCACGATGGATTTTTTGAGAGTAAAATTACTATGAAGAGACTAATTTGGAAAATGATGGCTTATTAACTTTCTGACGAGGATAAGATCAGTCAAAAGGTAAAATTCAATCATCATGGCGCATTTAAATCAGCAATCAGAACAGGCAATAGTTAGTGCCACTCGATTGTTTGAATTCCTCAATTCACTAAAATTTTAAAAGCAGAGAAAATCCATACAAATTCATAATATATAGATATTGACAACGTTTCGGAGTCCAGCTTCTATTACAGGCACCGAGCTATTATATATAATTGTAGCCAGCATGAGTGTTTAAAGAAACTTTTCTCACGCTTGTCGAGGCGGAGATCAAAATGTGCTCGAGTATTTCGTGATGAGGAGTCGAATGCATGAGTCGAGTTCACGATATAGAATTCAGCCGTAATCGATGTTGAGTCGCTCGATTCATGCAGGTGAGTACCTACATAATTTAACATTCAAACCACCTGTAAGTCGATGGTGCGAGTCTTCATCTATTCTATCACTAATCTTCTTTCTGTGAAAACGGATACCTCTTCTACGGATACAGACCTCATCGTGCCCACGCATGCTCTATCAACGGATGCGAACAGTTTAGATCTATAGAATTAACTATAACAATCTCATTCCTAATACTACATTCCTGATTATATGAAATAAATTGTGTGAGCTTCCCTAATGCTATTTGATCTAATATAGAAGAAGGCCTTATAGATCAAATCGTCTTTGAGAGGTACCCTATGAAGGCAACACTCAGAAAATAAATGAGTCAAATTGTCAAAATAGTGACCCACTCTCCTACCCACAGAACAAGCAGTGATCGGACGAAGCACTGATACGACCTTTTGCAGGGCCAAACTGGGTCGGGATGACCCACAAGTGGACCAAAAGTGCATCGCTATTTGGACAAGACCTTTTTCGCTTCTCTGCGTATGCCAAATATGTATATCTTTCATTTATGATGCGAGGTGGGCGGAATTTCAACTATTAATAAAAATTCAATTATAAGCCAAAGAATTTGGTGATAAAACCTAAGCCTTCTACCATACTACGATTCAACTGTCAAGATAACTTCAATGTTCCCTGAATTGGATGTATGGCAACAACTACTCCTGTTATATGCATCCAAGTCCTGCCAAAACGCAAAACATGAATACGGTTTAAAAAGATATGATGTATTCACATGACATCATTTTAGCTTTACAATGTTTGGTGCTCTACTGGACATATTGAGTCTTCTACTGACGTGAACTCTGGAGTAGCGGCATCCTGGAAAAGTGACATCCCAGAATGTATCGTAACTTTTTTTAACTCATGACCTTGACATTTTCAACTCTCATGCTCCAGTAACAGAAAAGATGGAACCTTGATATTTAGTTTTATTTAGGCCCAATTTAGCATGTGCTAAATTTAATATTTTAATATTATTTTAATATTAATATTTTTTAAGTTTTAATATTTTTTAGTATCCGCGTACACGGACAGGCGCGTTCCGGGTTATTTAGAAATTTTGGCGGTTAGAGAAGCGTCGATCCCTGTTGCCGGGACAAACAACGATGTGACACGTAGACCAAGCAAGAATTGTGAGTGATTTTATCGTGACTAATTTTGTTCATGTTGTAGAAGTGTACTCTTAGCAACTGTCTGCAATACGACTCTGTGAAATCGTTTCTACCAAACATTAATTTGAAATGATTCCCCTGGACAGTAGCTTAACTTGTCCTATGCAGTATTACTTAGCATATGCGACCTGTATTTTATAAGAATTCTGGTGTTCAAGACTCTCGGATAACATGAATATGAGTTCTGATACTTTCTGATGAGTTCTGTCACTTTCTGATAACTTGACATCATTTTCATGTGTAATTTTGCCTGATTTATCAATGATATGAGCAGGGATGTTCAAGCATTGTTTACTGTTTCATGGTGTTCTAGCTCATGATGCGCAACCTGAAAACTATGTTCTGTGTCATTGAATCCGGTTAAACTCATAAAAGATCTTGATACTGTCAATTATAAGCAGTTTTGCCCCATTTATAACGTGTGTTTGTTTTTTCTGAGACTGATCTTCTAGCTTACTGCAATAGCAAAGTGATTGTGCGAATTAATCCAATTGTATATGATTATTGAATCAATTACTATTTTGAATTCATTTGTGTAACGTAACCAGGCAGTTTGAACTGTATAACCCTGAGCGGAATTTTTCCTTGACAAAATATTTCCTGTTGCCACCTAGATGGAAATTCTGAATAATCCTAAGCGTCTTGAATTGCTCAATCGTTGCCGACTAACGTTTTTAGGAATTACCATTAAGACTAATTTTAAGTTCTGCCTTCTTATGGTACTCTGTTTTGCAGAGCAGTCATATGAAGATGGACTGAAAGGAAGTACAGTAAGAAACCAAAATTCTGTATTTCATTCTCCGCAAACCAACTGCGGCCTCTGGCATGAGGCCGTGTCAGTGCTAATTCTTGCTCCGCCTACGTGTCACATCTTAGCCAACCTGAACCCTGACTTGCCGTGGACGCCGGCAAGTGCTTATTTCAATCTACTTGTCGCCAACCTGAACCTCTACTCACCTTGGACACCGGCAAGGTTCCTTTTTGAACCTGTAACCTGGCAAGCCAGTTACCGGAGAGTTCCTCTTGAGCGGCTTCCAGCAATGTAGGCCTCTTCCACTTCATGCGCGTCTGTCACTAAATAGCCGTCCTTCATGGCGACTCTTGCAAAAGATCATAAATTACAAAAATAAATCAAGTTAATTTCTTGAAAGATTACTTATCCGTCAGTACTGAAAACTTTTGAAGAAGCACAGTCAACGCATTCAAACAATTGAGTAAACATATACGAATGCATTTTTATATTATAGATGAACCGATAATTTCGAGAATGTCCACGCCGTTGCACTTAGTTTGAAAGTGAATATATTTCGTTATTTTGAACAGCGTGCTACCTGATCGCAAAGAGGAAACAGAAGTGCAAGCAAATGTTAATGTTACAGTGAGCGTTATTTGTAGCAATGACAAGTGATTGTCAATTGAATAAAATACCTTTTGAAAACAATTAATTGTTGCAGGTAGCAACTCGCAAGTGGAAACTAACCTAGGAAGGCATTATCTGTCACAACCTCATGTAGGTGCTTCTTCACGCGTGGTGTTCCCATGCACCTTATGATGGAAGTTCATACCGTCCAAGAACTTCGTGAGCTGCTTGACGTCTTGAAATAAGTATATATATTTATGCGTCTTGCATGGAGTTGACGCCAGATTTTGCCAAGCTTCCATGGTCAATTAGAGTGCTTCAAAGATGTCCATGAAGCAAATAAGGTCGACTAGATCTAACCCTTCAGTGTATTGAAGGGTTTCGTCATTATTGCACTCTGGATTCATCACGTCGAAGGCTCAGCAGTACGCTGCGTATCCTTTGAAGACCGCCGTCCATTGTGAAAAATAATACGTGCAAATCTGCATAATACGAAAGGTAAATTCCAATTTACAAGAAGATGACACATTTTCACTTGCAAATGAATGATGAATGCCTCGTTCGCATACTGTCTGTCATATGTGAAATCTGGAAGATTCATCAAGACAAGTTTCAAAATTATCAATAGAAATGCTTCGTATACAATTAAAATTCTAGTTGCTGCTTGCCGAACTAATCAAGAATCTAAACAAAGTCGTTAGGAAGTAACTGAACTGCTCTATGTAGAACGTGTCAACTTGAATCACTGCATTTCATGAACGCATGAACGTTAAAGTATCAATATCAGAAGAGAGGATAGTGGCAGGAGTGGTCCAGTCTATATACCGACGGCATGGAACACGAAGGCTGTGTATGTTTTGAAACGTTCATAATGTTCAAACTTCAATAACAAATGTTCATGCAGTACTCGCGAGTATTCTCGTGTGTTAGTATTGGCAGTTTCATCAGGTTACGAGGCTTCTCGTCGCTGTTTATTTGCTAGAGGAGATAGACGCATCCGCTTACAGGCTCGGCGTCGTTATCTGCAAGCGACGCGCGCACTGACCGTAGCGCCGGCTGCACGAGGTGACCAAAAAGTGAGCTGTTGTGACCCAAAATTTTACTTTTGATATCTACATTGCTTGCATACTTCATATGTATACCTAATTTCTGTTCTTATTGAATATCGATTCAGTTAGGAGATTAAGACGCGAAAATAGACGATGAAACTTTAATGTCGAAAGTAGATTTACGAAAGTCGTCAAAGACGAAAACATATGAACGCCAGGATTCGAACAACTGACAATGATTTAAGTAACATGAGTCACGGTAATCAGAGGTAAACTTAAGTATTAAAGTTATTGGAAGGACACATCGATACAAATTCACTTCTCTCCACAGTCTAGCCGGGTGAGAGTGATTGCAACTTCTCCACACGACAAAATTTCTTCTCGCTTCGAATCACCGACATGTGGAACAGCCTCCCCAATAACATCGTTGACGCTCCAAGTATGAACGCGTTCAAGAACAGAGTACCCCCTTTTTGGCCGTTTTCTATGAAAATCACGTTTTCTTTCATTTTTTTTCTAAAAATTCACATTTACAAAATAGTCGTAATTTTCGATCTTACATATGTGTACCAAGTTTGGAAATCATCCTTCCCTAAAAATAGAAAATAGATATTGACCTACATGGTCCCCTTAAGAACTTGTTAGTGCTGCTTACTAGGCTCCGCCCACATTCTTGCTCATAGTACAAACTTTTTACTCTATAATTAACGAAATTTTTACGCTAAGTTAATGCGAAGTAACACAAGCGTTATAAATAATTTAGTAGTCGACTTCAGTTCTTTCGCGCGTTTTCTTTTTTAATTTTTCAGGTACCTAATGTGTTAGTAACGCCGTTGTCTCCTTCTCTTTACCAGCCGATCCATCAGTCAGCTATTGCGTTAATAAATTATATAATAACGACCAGCACAACAACGATCTCCCGAAGCGAAACGGTCTCTTCTTCCTTACTTCGAGAGTTTACACCCGACTTTCTGTCCCCATTGACGACCACACCTACCTATTCCAAAATGGGATACAAGTGGCAGTTTAAAGATGAACACGGCAAGTGGATCGACTACGGAAAAGTCAGCTCTGGCAATATCCAGGCTTGTACAGTGACTGCCTCTTCAGAAGCTATAGAGCGAGCGTTTGCTAAAAATCCAAAAGCGAGACTCCTAATCAAGAGTCCTGCTCATCAGTATAGACTTGATTTCAACACGATGAAACAGACAAACCTGAGAACCCAAGTCACCAGGGACGTGCGAAGAGTTGTGGATAACTCTTCCACTAACGTGAGTTTGTTTAATCAAGCGCGGAGAGTTGCGGATAACGCTTCCACTAACGTGAGTTTGTTTAACCAAGCAAGTATTAATACAATAATGGGCATTACTACTTCATTCTTGAAAACGCTCATCGAAGACGAACCTCCTCAAATCCCTAATGGACAAAAGTGTTCCACGGTGTCAATTGCACCGAACCATGTTGACTACGCGAAAGTTCTAGCTTTCCTCAAACCCACCTTACCAAACTGCAACCCCAAGAGCATCTTTAAAATTAACAACCCTTACCTAAAAACTGCGTTTGAAAACAAGACAGCTCAACTTCAGAGTCAATATCCAACTGTTCAGTACAGGGTACATGGTCTTTTCCATGGCACAAGCTCAAAAAATATCCAAGCCATAGCCGAAGAAAACATCGATTGGCGACTGCATGGATCCTGCATAGGACAAAAATACGGAAGAGGAGCTTATTTCTCGAACCAGTAAGTTGCTTCCAGTCATGTAACCGCATTTTTTCATTTATAACGTTATCAATTATCCAGGAATTGTATCTATACCAGCTATCACTTTTCATCTTTTCACCACTGTCATTCTTGATGTCTCTGGGTGTTTTCCATCCGTTTGTGATGGTTCACGTTAACCGTCAAAGACATCGAACTATAAGAAGATTTACGTAGACTTGAATGTTGAAAGTTTGTGTTTGGGATGGGACGCCTGCCGAAGACCACCACTGCCCTGGATGTAATGGACCATCATGATTCCTGCCTTCCGGAACGTACATAGCCTTCAACACTTCAAGCCGTCCGTATCTAGGCCGTGGGTCGAACCAGCCCTCGGTCGAACGGCCACTTGTCGAAGGACGATAAATTTTGAAACAGAACTATGCTATCTGAAACCTAACCTCAGATGCGGTCAACGTAAAATTACGTAATCGATGCCCGGAGTCAGATTTGATCCGCCGCCTGGTGGTGCACGGCGGGTTCTATGCGAGGCCGGAGGAGATCAAAGCCGAGTGGTTCACGGTTGATTGGTGGATGTCCGGAGAGATCCAAGGCGTTCGATTCAGGGCTTATTGGTGCACAAAATTGGTGGTGCGCGGCTGCGCTCCCTTTGGGATCCCCAAAATTCCATTAAGTACTACTACTACTTTCCTTAAATACAACTACCTAGCATAATAGGAAATGCCCTCACCCTGCAACATTCAACAATGCTCGTCTGTAGATTCAAACCACTGCTAATGAATCCGAATTATTTTGGAAACTTTGAATGAATATCATTGCCGAATCCTCTTACTCTCAAATTGTCTAATGACAATTCCTGTCGTGAATATTGCGTGGTTTATTAACGCAATGTATTGAAAGTCTTTGCAGGTTGCTGTATGCATCAAAATAGAATAATTTAAGCTAAGATAAAGAAGTCTCAACGATTCGAATCCATTTCGCATTTATCATATATTTAACCTAATTTCATTACTTGAGAATTGACCAAAGACACACATACTCAGACTTTTTCCTTTATGCTGGACTTCATCCAAATAGCGAAATACTTTAGCCCTTAATGTGCTGGTGATCCGAATAATTTTGGCCTAGTAAAAAACGTAGGCTATTAGGACTACTAGCAGAAAGTATCACTATTTGGACAATATGACTCATTCATTTTCTGATTATTGGCATTCATTAATTTTCTTGATATTCTCCATTAACAGACACTTCACTAATAACTTGTAACTTACTTTCATCTCTGCAGAGCAAGTGAATCTCGTCTCTATGGCGATACAATTTTCATCTGCAATGTTCTCGTAGGACTCACCACCACCGGCGACTCAAATACCATCAAGCCTCCAAAAGACGGGTACTGCATAGTACAGCTTAATACTAAATATCCTATATATCAATCTTAACTATACTATATCTCCAGCGTGAATTACCTATACCTCAATCCTAAATTTCTTATATGTCAATCCTAAGTGTCCTTTAGCTCAATACTAAACATCCTATACTTCAATCTTAAATATCCTATATCTCAATCCTCTATTTCCCGTACCTCAACCCCTAAGTATCCTATATCTCAGTTCTAAATAGCTATTAACCACGGAATTGTGCTGACATTATTGGTATTTTCACTGCTGATTCAAGTAACAATGCAAATCGTGTGTGTGGTGATGGTGTGCTAGACACTCATCTGATGTGTACTAATAACAACACATACATCACTTCAGAACGACGAATATGCGAGTAAAAACTGTTTGCCACAAAGTCCTATTTATTCATAAATAAAGATTGTAGTGTGCCTGGTAGCTTGTAAAACGATAACATTTTGCCCATAATTACTCAAAAAACGTGTTCTTCATGAAAGAGATTATGGTATCAATATTATATACAAATTATTATTCATGATGATGTCTTTTGTACAGATGTTTGTGTTTTGCAGATCCAACCGCCTCATCGACACCACGGTTAACGATACCGCTAACCCGAGAATATTTGTCAAGTATGATTCTCAGGAGTACTTCCCGGTGTACTACGCCTTGTTCTGAAGTGTAGAGTACTTCCCGTTGTACTACGCCTTGTTTTGAAGTTTATAGCACTACCCGGTGTACTAAGCGTTGTTCTGAAGTGTAGAGTACTTCCCGGTGTACTAAGCGTTGTTCTGAAGTGTAGAGTACTACCCGGTGTACTAAGCGTTGTTCTGAAGTGTAGAGTACTTCCCGGTGTACTACGCCTTGTTTTGAAGTGTATAGCACTACCCGATGAGTGCTACTATACTATGTGGTTGCTCGCATGCGCTACAGTTGCGCAAAGCGAGCTTCTTTCGAGCTTTCGAAGACTATAGTATACATCAATGCTGTTTTGCGTTTAGTCTATCTAATTGTGTCTAATGTTCTTGCCGTGGAGGTACGTTACTCGATAGCTCTGTGATAATATTTGTGATTGTTCAATTTTTGTAGGAATCGTTTTGTGTTATACAGATTATTCGAGCGTATTACTTTGTTATTATATATTCACCTGCTCCAGTTAGCTATTTCAAGTGCTTTTTTTGTTCTATTTCAGCAAGGCCTCGATTTTTCGACTTTAATCTTGTGGGATTGAATTTGAAACGCATGGTTAGGGTTAAGTTTTATGGTTGGGCTTGTTCGAGTGTTAGGTTTGTTGTTTTTTTCTAATTATTCTTCGTTAATTATTTATATTAAACTGTTCTTCCGTTGAATAAAATTCTTGGTTAGAAAAGTGCTAGATTTTATAACGATCCCGTGCTTTGTGTCAGGGAGATGTCAGTTAATAAGATATTGGAAGTCTTCACCATAGGGACAGATCAGATCGTGGGATTAGAGCTAGGTTACAAATTGACGCTGTTTTGAGGTAGCCTCTAGATTGCAACGAATAGAGTTTTGTGTGTAACTGTTTTAAATATTTCAACGACGGCTACAAACATCAAATCTAGATACAGAGAGTGCAGAATTCATCCCTCCAATTCGAACGCAATAGGCAAGTCTCGACCTTTCAGGAATCATTCTATCCCCAGCATGGACGTAAACTTACCTATTAGGCCAGAGAATCCTCCAAGTCAGATTAAACTTTTGGACGAACCAAGAACTCCTAACGTTACTCTCAAATTGGGAGACGCTGCACTGCTTCCCAGCAATTTGACGTTGGTGAGCACCGGAGTTTTGAAGCCAGGCGAGAGAGTGGATTGCAACAAGAACATCGAGACGAACGTGAATCGGTTGCTGAGTCCAAAATTTAATTCTTAGCCTCGGAGCTCAAGGTTGTCCTCATCAAACTTGACCGCGATGTCTCAATGAAAACTTTGATTGCCAAGACGATTCTTACTGGCGACACTGTGAGAACTTTTAGCTTCTGTATTTGACGGTAGGATCTGTCTGCCCAAGTCTTGACGCGCATGACAAATTTGGGCTTCTTATACGTTACAAACCTCAAGTTAACTATGAACATTACAAGCTTTTTGACAACTGATTGATTTGAATTGACGCCACGCACGGGGAATAGAATTGTATAGAATTTTAGCCAACAAATTAACCTAACTGTACACTAACCTTATAATTGAACGAATCTATTCAGAGGAATGAATCCATGAAAACATTTAAACTCATGATTACACTCCTCATATCGGAATTGATTTAATACTTGTTCATAATGATATCAAGACTATTATTCAGAATCGGGATCAGTTTTTACTACCATCAGAAAGTTGTTTTTCCATCGAAGGGGCCCTAAAGAAAGAGGATGGAAGGAGTTAAAATTCCAAAGATGATAAAATATCAGTTATTGATAGAGGATTGAAGTATTTATTCGACCGAGCATCGCATAGAATAGGATATAAGGATATTGAGAGATATACATAGCTTTTTTATATTGCGACAACTCTTGCGACAACTCTAAAAGGATCGACAATTTATCAATGAAGGTCTGAAGAAAACGTACGAGTGAGGACCCAAAGGTGCTAGACTTATTTTTTAAAGTTTTATTTATCCAAAATCTTCTGTCAGAATAAGCTGGAGTGAACTCCAAGTCACTTGGAACAGTTCCGCCAGTTCGTCAATACTTCTACGTCGATCTTCAGGGAATAGGCCCCCGATTTTCTCAACATTTTCCTAAGTGCGGCAAGTGTAAGGATGGCCTGAGTGAGGTTGGCCATCAATTGGCATTCCCTTTCCCGAAGCGGGAAAACCACTAAAAAACTTCCGTTCTTCCCAGCCTCATTCTTGTAGGTTGTCTGTAGCATTTATGTGACAGTCTCTTATAGAAAAAAAATTTGACGGCAGCAGATTGGTCACGAAAATCAGCCATCAATCATCAAAGAACGACGAGCGCGCAACACAAGCGTCATAAATAAAAATTTTCGAGAATGGAACACGGCATTCTAGTGCATCCATGAGGCATACTGAATGAGGGAAGTCCGTAGCATATTCACATGTTGGGAGGATGCGGCACTATTAAAACTTCGCCCGGACACTCCGCGGTATAAAAAACCGGACACTCAGTCCGGTTTTTTGGCCCCCCCCCCTCGTAAATGATGGTGTAAAACATGATTGCCACCAAGAAAAACAAACATTCGAACGATGGATGCAATGAAAATAGCGAACAAATTGATTCATAAACTCAATCTTGAATAAATCATAAACCAAATTGATTTAAGAACCCTAGAATATAAAACAATGCTAATAATCTGTTCAACGTTGAATGAGGAAGATACTATTAATCAATGATGGATTTTTTATGACAAAATTATGATCAAAAGACTAATTTGGAAAATGATGGCTTATTAACTCTCTATTGAGGATAAGATCATTCAGAGAGTAAAATTCGATTGCTCATGGCGTATTTAAGTCAACAATTAGAATAGGCAAAAGTTCATGTCATTCGACTGCTTGAATTCACAATTCACTAAAATTTTAAAAGCAAAGAAAATGCACACAAATTCGCGATATCGCAATATTGACAGCGTTTCGGAGTCCAGCTTCTATTACAGGCACCGAGCTATTATATAATTGAAGTCAGCATTAGAATATGAAGAAACCTTTCTCACGCTTGCCTAGGCGGAGATCAAAATATGCTCGAGTATTTTGTGATGAGTCGAATTCAGGAACTCGGCCCAAATCGATCTCGAGTCGCTCGATTCATGCTGGTAAGTACCTACACAATTTACCATTCAAACGACCTATACAGCCATGGTGCGAGTCTTCATCTATTCTATCACTAATCTTCTTCCGTGAAAAGAGACACTTTTATACCCCGTGGGATACTTCCAGACCTCAACGTGCCCACGCATGCTCTATCAACGAATGCGAACAGTATAGAATTAACTATTGCAATCTCATTCCTAATAATACTATTAATTAATACTATCTCATATACTATACTATCTATAGTATACTATAAGTCATTCCTGATTATATGAAATAAATTGTTTGAGCTTCCCTAATGCTATTTGATCTAATATAGAAGAAGGCCTTATAGATCGCCTCGCCTTTAAGAGATACTCTATGAAGGAAGGCTACACTCAGAAAATAAATGAGTCAATTTGCCAAAATAATAACCATCTCTCGTACCCACAGCACGAGCAGTGAGCGGACGTAGCACTGATACTACCATTTGCAGGGCCAAACTGAGTCGGGTTGACCCACAAGTGGACCAAAAGTGCATCGCTATTTGGGCAAGACCTTTTTCGCTTCTCTGCGTATGCCAAATACCCTGTGGAAATGTACAGACGCGGCAGCTTCTGATTTGGATTACCAGAAGCTGGGGCGGCTCTAAATTTTGTTAGGGTATGTACATCTTTCATTTATGATGCGAGGTGGGCGGAATTTCAACTATTAATAAAGATTTAATTATAATAAGCCAAAGAATTTGGTGATAAAAACCTAAGCCTTCTACCATACTGCGATTCAACTGTCAAGCGAACTCTAATGTTCCATTAATTGGATGTATGACAACAACTACTCCTTTTTATGTATCCAAGTCCTGCCAAAACACAAATACATGAATACGGTTTACGAAGATATGATGGATTCACATGACGTTATCTTAGCTTCTCAATGCTTGATGTTCTAGACTGGACACATGAAATCTTCTACTGACGTGATCAGTGAACAGTGGAAAAGTGCCATATCCTTGAACAGTGACATCCCAGAAGATGTAGAATAAATCCCGGCAACTTTTTTAACTCGTAACTTTGACATTTTTAGTTCTATCATGCTCAAGCAACAGGAAAGCTAGAACATTGCAATTTAGTTTTATTTGGGCCCAATTTCTCACATAGGCCCAGTGTAGTTAACAAATTAGCACATAGGCCCAAAATACTGAAGAGTGATGTGCGTGAATTATATCTAATTTTTTAGCCGCTACAAGCATTTCCCGCCCAACGTTTTAGGAGCCACGATTTTTTTTAGGAGCCGCCCTCCGTTTTAGGATCCATACGATTAATTTAGCAATTGCGTTTTCCACTATATTATAAACAGAACGTTTATAACAGAAGTTGGAGAGTCGGTGCCTGATGAGATTCTCGTCCCCAATATAAATACATTTTGAACATATTTTTTTCACAATATTTAGACGGAGGCTAGAACTTTGCAGAGAGTGAACAATAAGCGTTCCATGCTGCAACCTCTCACCCAACATCCGTCATCTCAACGTGACGCGCACATATTGCCAAAACAGGTTTCGGTAACTGCCTCAGTGCCACCCAAATTGAAAGTGAAATCTTAAATTGCACCGGCGGGCGCATCAACTCGAAAATAGAGCTGCTCGTGATCGCACAAGCTTGCAATTAATTTTTTTTTTCAACAAAACGCACCGTAAAATGGTCAGATTCTAGCTGTAAACAATACTCTATCTCCAGCCTGAAATCAGTGTTTTTATATAGCCTAAAGATAGTGCACAACATCTGAATGTGGTAAGATGTCATTTTATTATTTTCCACTGTTCGTTCCTGACTTTGAACATAGTTTTGCAGACACTGTCAAAACGGACTCCCCACACACGGTCAGCAATGGCAGACTTGAGAATATCCAAGAGTCTAGATGCGAGCCAAAGGTCTAACACCTGCTGGAAACATTGCTGGACAACCTTCAGGATTTAAATGTGTCTGACGAGTTCGCTGAAGGTGTTTCCTCCGTGTAGTGCACCAGAAACGTATGGTCGTCCTCCTGGAGATGTCTTCGACCCCTGCAGAAGTGTGACCTTATCATTAAAATCTAGGTACTCTGATAGCAACGCCATTACAGGGTGCAAGCATTTCTTCAGTCTGTTCTTAAGAAAGATGCTTGGGTCGGATGCCAGGCGGGCATTGTCTGGCAAGCAGTCGTCAAATTCCCGAATTAGCAGCTGAAAACAGTTTTCTTTTCTATGTGTTACCGGAGAGTTCCTCTTGAGCGACTTTCAGCAATGTGCGTAGGCCTCTTCCACTTCATGCTCGTCTGTCACTAAATAGCCTTCCTTCATGGTGACTCCTGTAAAAGATCATACATTTCAGATCTGTCGAATAAAAACGAATCAAGTTAATTTATTGAAAGATTTACCTCTGCGTCAGTACTGATAACGTTTGAAAAAAGAACAATCAAGTTATTCCAACTATTGAGTAAGCATATACGAATGCCTTTTTGATGCCATAGATATACC